TGATGGAAAGGAGGGGGGAGGGGGTGAAAGGAAGGGGAGAAGGGTGAGAAGGAGGGGATAGAGGGGTTGCCGAAAGTGAGGTTAGGAAATGGGGGTGGGGGGTGGGGAAGATTGGGGCCAGGGCGAAAGGTTGTGAGAGGAGGGATGCAAGCCCTAGGAGGATCAGAGGGGCGATGCAAGCCCTAGGAGGATGAGAGGGGGAAACTTTTTTCTCAGACCGGGTTAGTCCTGAGTGGCAGAGTGGAAGCCCCCTCCCTAAATGGTTTAATAATGTCGATTGGGGCATAAAAATTACAATCACTCATTCTCCTAAAATGTTTCCGTTTGGAAAATGTATTCTTCGCCTGACTTAAAGAGCTTCAAAATATAACTCTGTTGTGTTAGTCCATGGAAGTGCTACACATTTAGTATTACACTAACGACCTAATGTGCGAGGGGAGAACACAACGCTAATGTTGTCAGATTTTTCATTTCCTTTTCTTGTTTTTAATGAGCTTCCGAGCAGAAGTATATTATGCCTGCAACCGAGACCGCCGCTGTCTGTTTTAGATATATGGCATTTTGATTTTTTTAAAAACAAACTTAAAGACAATAGTCAGTTATGTTTTCCAAGGTTATTCGCCGAAAAGACGAGTGGATACCACTGTATTACTCTGTTCATTTTCCATTTTGGGCTCAGAAAAAAAAAGTGAAATCTGATTTTTAAAATCTTTTTTTAGCACTGTATTTCACGTGGATTGAAGGTAACATGAGGCAGAAAGCTATCAAGTAAATAATATTATTAGAATCAGCAAGTGAAGGCTATGCGTTATTGTCTTATTAATTACGGAAATTACGCTCATGGAAAAATAGAAACTGACCCCAAAAAATAATGAATGTATTTTTCCTCAATAAAAAAGAAAGACAAATGTGTGAACCGATCCCACACGTTATTTTCTTTTCTCTTTTTTTCCAAGTTAGCCAAAATAACATCAAGCAGAATGATAAAGGAGTAATACAGTAAAAATGTAAAGTTAATTAATTCTTTTTTTGATGAAAATGTTGGTGGTATCGTTTTGGAATATTTCTTCAGTGTGCATTGACGGCGAAAAAAACCCACAATTCATCAGACGAGAAAAACTTTTATGAGAAACCACTGGTTACTTTTTCAGGATTTAAAGCAGTTAATGATATCATCCTCACATTATTGCTCTTACTTACCAGAAAAAACTGAGCATAGTATGGAACCGTTTGTTTAATTCCATAATTATTGTATAGATCTCAATGGCTAGAGGAAAAAGGCAAGATATGGGTTCTGGATTGCGGCAGTTTATTTTCAAGATTAGCAACTTAAAAAAAAAAATTATTGCAAGGACGCTGCACCATACTTTCCTTCAGCTAGCCCGGACAAGCGTGACTACATAGGTAGCTCACCTGTATGACATACACTTTAATGAAGTGGGTCACTGCGTGGAGAGACTGTAAACACGACATGTACAAACAATCAATCGTAAACCAGTGCGTCAGGAGATTTTGGCAGGGTGTGTTGTATATTTTTTTTGGACCAATGTCCGGTTTTTTTTCATTTTAAATTAAATGTTTTTATGCGCTTATTGACACAATTTAGATCATTTACCAGGCAGGTTTCCGATCCTACCTGCAATGGCCAACCCAGACTGAGACACACACACACACACACACACACACACACACACACACACACACACACACACACACACACACACACACAGAGAGAGAGAGAGAGAGAGAGAGAGAAAGAGAGAGAGAGAAAGAGAGAGAGAGAGAAAGAGAGAGAGAGAGAGAGAGAGAGAGAGAGAGAGAGAGAGAGAGAGAGAGAGAGAGAGAGAGAGAGAGAGAGAGAGAGGGGGAGAGAGAGAGAGATCCACCTCAACAGAAAGATCGATATCCATGATACGACTTTTCTCACTGTTTAGGAATCGAACTCGGGTCTCCTGCTCGCCTCAGTGAAACATCTAACTGCTGCACAACAGGCGCCCACTATATCAGAACGTCTTTCACAACTATACTGTGGTCATCATGATTTTATTTTCAAATAAACATGGTCCGTGGTTGCAGGGCCTTACTGCAGGTCCCTTTGTCTTAGCCTCTGTGGTTTATTTGTTTGAGTCAAGAGACGCACATCGACACAGTAATGATCATTTGTGAGGCAGCGTGGTGGAATCAGGCTCTCGTCAATTTTTTGGCATGTAGAGTTATTGGTATCATCTTAAAGTTTGTTCACTTGTCTTTATTTGGATGAAAAAAATATCCATTTATCTTGAATACAAGTTGAGATATGTGCGAATGAAGGAAGTGGATGTCACCTGTTTTCAGAAGTAAAATAAGTGAGAAAATGGCCGCCAAAGATTAGTTATTTCCTAAGCTTAAGAGTCCGTGGTAACTAAAAATTTACTTTTTTGTGCCTTTAATCAACGTTTTTCAGAAAATACTTAACAGAAATGACTTCTTTTAAGGGCATGAAAGGTATTGAGCCAAAAAACTAAAATTTGATAAAAATTCACAAACCTGCGGAAAAATGCAAGTTTCTTCACTTTGAGTATTTCGACGAGAGCCTGATTCCACCATTTTTTATTTCTGCACATCAGAGTCTTGCTTTTTCCGTGTATTAATCTTTTTTTTAGCAAGGGCGAAAATATTTTCAAGCCGCCATAAACTATCAGTCAAAGTTTATGTGTTTTTTTCTCTAATGATAAAATGCTATGGGTTTAACACCTCTATCAACACTATTAGGTTATTTAAGGGGCAGGACCTCCGAGTTTAACGTCCATCTCCGAAAAGACCGAGCTAAGTGGGAAGTTAGTGTGAAGTGCCTTTCCCAAGGACACAACGGCGGACCGAGCTGAGCCTCAAACCCCCGAACCCGCAATCCCACAAGTGCGAGTCCGGTAGCTTAACCACTAGGCTACCGACGCCACTCTCTAGACAAGACATGGACACCAGGAAGATGCTCAATCCACATGACGCTTAACAAATGGATGGTTAGTTCTGGACTGTAAACCTCAAACACGAAAGA